TCCACCTAATTGATTTAAGTCTGCTTACCAACGCTGCAGAAATATCATCCTTACGCACAGCAAGGAAAAAAAATACATACTTTTGGAAGTCTACATGAAATTCTCATTATTTGCTTTAAATATTCTGCTAAAAATGTTGTATTTTACAACCAATGCTGCCTAGAATCATCTGGTTTCCTATACGTGTAAGCAGAAAAATGAACTCAACATTCCAGGATTGCTTTTACTTGAAAATATCACTTGTTCATTTCAGCTAAAAAAAATCTGTGCAGAGGCTAAGATGATGCAACAACATACATATTTCTAATATTAACACAAACATTCATACAAAACAACAAGATCAGCTTTCAAAAATCTGTCACTCTGTCCCACCAATAAACTTGCAAAAGGAAGAATAGAAACAAGGGTGATAATAATCACAAATGTATAAAAAGTTATGGCCTTTGAGGAACAAGTGGCACTGCAAAAAGACAAGATTGTCAGCCTTGGGAAAGAGGTATCAGTCCTGCATTTCTAAAACACGTCAAGTCACACACTTGATAAGGAATTCCATTGTTTTAAGTAACATCATCAGTAAATTTATTCAGTATAGGTTGCTTTGCAGCCCATTTTTTCGTTTGCTAATTCTTTAAGCAAAGCTTTGCCAATCTGCTCTAGTGAAGAACCCTTTTTTCTTTAGAGCCAAAGAGAAACTGCACCTTTGGCTCCCCCACTATTCTGCGTCTCCGACCTTCGCCAGGGGCTGAGAATGTGAAAAACGCAAGGAAGCCATTGCTGCAAAATGTAGGTTACAGGGAGAGAGGATTCAATGGATTTTCGCTTCCCCTCCCTCTGAAAATATTAAAATTTCCCTGCTCCATCCCAGTGGGAATGCCTGAAAGTTGCTTTGGAAAAAAGGTAACAGCCTTTTCCTTCTCTTTTATTGTGCCTTTGTAAAATATAATCACCCTCAAAGGCTCTGAATGAAATTCCTGCTGCTGCGGCTATCTAGGGCGGATCCTCCTCTTCCCTCCTCCTCCCCCCCCCAACATATACTGTAATGTCCGCTCCAGCCATCCTTTCCAAGGACGGAAGGAACAGCCAGTCCAGAAGGGCCAGGAAAACAATCCAATAAGAGATACCGCACCCCACCCTCCACTTCTGTCCAGCCAAGCCTTGTGAAATCAGGACTGGGGGAAAAAGAGGTGCCACCAGAGCTTTAATGCAAATTAACGCACCAAGGAACATGTGAATATTCATAAGTGTATCATCAGCAAGCAGCTAAAGAACAAGGCTATTACCATTCAGAGGGAATAACCTCTTTGTAAGGGCAAACAAATCAGCTTCAACGGAGACTAATAACAACCGACTGGCCCTCACTCCCAGTTTGCACCGACTAGCCCCCAACTAGGAATAAAATGACCTAATTCCTAGAGGGTCTCAAGTGCTAGATTAGCTTTCTTTTTTGGGTGAAGAAATTTCAGATGATTCACAATGCGTGCCTACGCAGGAGTAGGCGCCACTGAGTCCTATGGCAGTTGTGAGCATCAGACTGACAGCTACCCACAAATCCTCTGGGGAACTTGTGCTTTAATTGGTAACTGGGAAGTTTATCACACACCTCTATACCCTTCTGCATGAATTTCTGAGTAATCAGCTACGCCAAACACCTATTGTAGGCATAGGATGACAATCCAAAATGAAGCAATTAGAAAGACAAGAGCAACCCCCTTAAATTAACCTTATTGCCTATGAGATGGATGTTTTAAACAGGGCTGTGGGGAGAGGGGATGCTGCATATTTTCCTGCAGGAGTACCATATTTTTAGGGCCCTCAAGCTTTCTTTTAAGGGCTGCATTCACACCATCTTGGAAATGTAGCTTGTACTGCGTTCAATGAACATAATGCACGGGGCTGCCATCTAGCCAGAATTTAAATCCATTTTTGCACTGGACTTTTTTTTTAAATTCGGCTCTGCCTGTGCAAAAGAACGTACATACGAAGGGGCGGGGGAAAGAGGGATTAAACCTGCATGAAATCAGCATTCAGGAATGGCGATCAGCCGACAACAGGAGGCAGAAAAACAAATGTTGCCCTCACTTCGAAACTCAATGTAGGCGTATGGGAAGAACAGCAATGAAAACACACTCCTTTTTCTGCCTGCAGGACAGCCTCTCTTTGGTGAAAAGAAATATAAAGAGACAAAAAGTGAATTTTAATTCACATAAAAGGGTCTTTCATCTTATTTTGAAAAACCCTTACAAGTATTCCTCTCTCTCTCTCCCCACCACAGGGCTTCTGCCCAAACAGATGGGGTTCTCAGGCTGCAGCCTGATCCTACACCTTGCTTCCTCGAGAGCCAGCCCCCATTTTTTCACTCAACAGGGCTTACCTTCGTTGACGCTGGGCCCCCAATTCCTATGCAAGGGGTGCACAAGATTTAAAAAAAAACCCAATGCCTTTGCACACCGGATCCCTCCCAAGCAGATACGCCTGGGACAGCCAAGAGGAGATCCAGGGGGTTCATTCCTTGGGGGGGGGAAGATCCCTTTAAACACCCTTCCTTCTCCACCACTCCTTTTTCTTTTTCCATTTAAAGAACCCCCAAGCGAGCCTGGCAGCTCCCCAATGAATAGCACACAATGGAAAAGAACAGCCCCCTGGGATCTGTGTTTTTTTTGGGGGGGGGAAGGCCACACACCTGCCTACCTGCCTGGCCTCCATTAAGTCCTAGGGGAGACGTAAAGGGTGCGCTTCGCCCAGGCGTCTCGAGGGGGCGCCCTCGCCTCCGCCCAGACCCTCCCATTGGCGGTGGCCGGGCCTAGGCGCCCCCTTCCCACCCCCGTCCCTTGGAGGGCGCT